CCCCCCCCCCCCCCCCCCCAGCACCCGACCCCAATAATTTCCAGATAGTGTAGCAAAGGAACACTAATGGGTCGGCTACACACACAAGTCAGTAGACTGTAATGGACGGCCACGTTGACAATCAGAAGTTTGACATAAATCAAAGGTGCAATGGACGACGTGATCGTGTGCATCGTGCTGATTATTTGGACACAAACCTTGGCCACAGTGGGAAAAACACGGTTATAGCCCAGACCCAATTGGTCCCACACCTGGACTTGATAATGCAAGCAAAGGGGGGGGGGGGCTGTACAAATGCATACACAACAATCACGTTGGGTTTATTCTAAAGACGGACAAAGTTAATGAACTCCATATGTCCTCTCATACAACAGTATGGCGCCATGGATGCTTTTTGTATCGATATTGGTTTATTGATTTTGATCATTTCGTCAGCCTAGACCAGTGGTCGGAAAATTGCGGCTCCCGAGCCGCATGCGGCTCTATAATGATGCGAGTGCGCCTCGGCCGGTCGGCCACAAATCGGTTTTGACTCCGAAAAACGTGTTTCTTGACAAGTTCTTGAAAAGAAATTTGGATCTCATTTTTTTTATTCGTCCCGTTGCACATTTTCGGCTCTTTTGACTCATGCGGTTGCCGACCTCTGGCCTAGTAGCGGGAGTTAAAGATGGACAGAAGCTCAAAATGGATCTTTACTGACATGACGGTTACTCTGCAACAGCTTATCCCAAACTTTTAAGTTTTACGGACCGGTAGACACGTGTGGAAACTGCACCACGGACCGGTAGACACGTGTGGAAACTGCACCACGGATTGGTAGACACGTGTGGAAATCGCACCTCGGACCGGCGCCAGGTTTATTCATTACATGTTCTTTGTATTTGACCATAAATATTTATGTTGTGCAGAGCTGCAACGTAATGCCCACGGACAACCATTTGAGAAACACTTGCTCTACAGTGTCTCCTTTAAAACATGTGACTTGACAAAACATGTGACTTGAAAAAATTGTGACTTGACAAAGCACGTGACTTGACGAAACATGTGACTTGAAAAACATGTGACTTGACTTAAGTCGTGGTTTCGCCAATTGGTTACTTTAAAAGTCATGTGACTTTTGGAGAGAGAGAGTGGGGGGGGGGCCAAACTGCCGATATTCCGCTCTGTGCCCCCCCCCCCGGGCAGTCAAAGTCATTGTATTGACTTTTTTTATTTAAAAAAATGGGCTTCTAAAATCTTCGAGCCCCCGTAGTCACGTGGGTTGCAACACTCACGTGACGGTTCTATTGGTAATATAGATAGCTGTTATTGGTCTAACAGCTGTAGCCAAATAAATAGGGATTTCTGTTGTAGTGGTAGTAGTACGCACAATAGGATAATAATTTAAGTTTTTGTTGGGTAGATCTTCCTTATGGGGTTTCTTGCAAATACTTCGCCATCCTAGATGACCCTTACATGAATGTCATAAACATCGAGTAACCCTATAGACGAGACTCGCAAAAATGTAATCAGTATAGAAATTGGCTTGGACTCTTCTCCACACAGCTGCTATTTTTCTTAAAGCTATATTATGCTCAGTGGTGTAACTTTAGGATGCGGACCGTACCGGGTGGCAAACTCACAGTGTGTGACACCCAGTAGAGCATTTGATAGGGTTCTATCCGGTAGGTTTCATAAGAGAACTTAGTTAAATACAAAATAGAGTGCCTCCAGAATACGGTGCCATCTTAGTGGAGTCACATCAGAGAAGGGTGTCATCAGAGCAGGATGCCGTCAGAACAGGGTGTTATTAACTCAGAGTGCTTCCAGAGCAGGGTGTCACCAGAAAAGGGTGCCAACATGGCAGACCAGGGTATCAACAGACAGACAAAGGGTGCCAAAAGAACACGTTTCCACCAGAACATAGTACTACATACAAAACTAAAAGTGGTTCTGTATAATCTGGCAACAAAGTTACTAAATCCTGCTCCGTGTAAGAGGATAGAGAGGGAAGGAGTGACACCATGACTTGGAGGGGGATCCGGAAAGAGATGGGTGACATCATGACTTGGTGGCGGGAGCCAGAGGGAGGGCGATGACACCATGACTTGGAAGGAGATCCAGAGGGAGGGAGATGACACCATGACTTGAAGGGGGATCCAGAGGGAGGGGGTGACACCATGACTTTGTTAGCACAAACCCTAGTGACGCCTTTGAGTGAAGAGAAAAACAACCCCTGAAATGTACAACCCAGAAAACAACCCAGAAAACAACCCAGAAAACAACCCAGAAAACAACCCAGAAAACAACCCAGAAAACAACCCAGAAAACAACCCAGAAAACAACCCAGAAAACAACCCAGAAAACAACCCAGAAAGGTTTATTGCAGCCGCTGAAAATCAGATTGACAGTTAATTTCTTCAAAATAATTCACCTGGTCGAAATCAACACGGGAGACATCAATGGTCATTGTCCTCTCACCCACGTGGACTCAAGGCTTTCATCCTACGCATGCGCGATAGTCCACGTCAGTCCTACAGGTTCCCTTTAAATAGCGCCAACATTCTGTGACTTTAATCAGACTTCAAGAACAAGAATATTACGTAAGTATCTGTCATTGGCTGTTGTTTGCTTTTTTTTTTACGTTCATGTTTTGAACTGCGTTTATAAACTTTAACCGAACATACGTTGACAGCCTGGAAGTCAGTTCAATATAAGAGCACTACATTTAGAATCTGTCCTACCGCTAAACCAAGCTATGCATTGTTCAGCATGAAGCTTTGGAATAGTGGTCTCCAAGACTCGGGTTTCTCCTGACAATTTGCAAGGGGTCGATCGCCAACATCAGAGATTTGAAAGCGTTTCATGAAATGGTCATTTTTAAAATGTTTAAATATGTAAGTATGAGTAGTGTATTACCCACGAATCAGGGCGCAAAAGTAAGGCGCTGGGTAAGGCGCGCGCCTGTGTGCCTTAGGCGCGCCAAGGGGAATAACCCGATAATTACTTTGTAAGGGTCTTATAAAAGTGACCTCCAGTTGTTGTCCGAGCGTACTTATATTTGTATTGTTGTCCGCGTGTAATTATTTTGACTTGATTATAGTTGTACTGTTGTACAATGGTATATTTGATTAACTTTAAAATTATTTTTAAAACAACAAAAGACAAAAGAGGGCTTTTTATATATGACTTTTATTATATTTTATGACAAGGGCATGATTCAACAGAATCATGATTGATTCAA